GAAAACTAAAAGTAAGGAACACAATCCACCGTTTTGTTTGTTTATTTAGATACTGTCTAGGAGGCAATTTTAAACATGTGCTTATGCCACCCTTTCACCATGACCACGAATATCCCGAATTGCCCCGAATCAAAAACATTTGAAATTCGTGATGACTGCCAATTAATGCAAACTTTTGTGGCTAATCGGGTGGAAAAATATGAAGAATGCCAGGAATGGGTTAAGAAACATGTACGAATTACAATATTCAGGTATGGATGATGCTGGAATTGTAACAATTCCCTGATTAAGTTACGAATATGCCGAATGTTGTTCTTACTTAATTTGTTCATGATTCCTAGTTGACTCGGGACATTTTCGGGTTGAGGACAAGAAATTTTGGGAGCCATGAATTGCTAAGAATAGCCAAGATTGCAAAAGAATTGATAACGAAGGTGTTATGGAACATAAGAATTAATTACGAATGGATTACGATACAGCCACGTAATTTCAATTCGGGGACACATCCACGAAAGTTTTTGACAAACAAAAACTTTCTCGCCAATTCGACAAACTCCCACGAACTGTACGAATGCTTGGAAATCAAATAAAATTCAGTTAAGAACTTCAAGAAATGATTGAGATTTATCTACAAACATGAAAAATTTCCTATTTGGGGTGATTCCGGATATTCGTGGTCATAGTGAAATGGGGGCATAAGCTCCACTGCATCAGTGATTGTGAGTTCCCCTATAGATGCACACACTTTGGCTTGTGCGCACATGCACCACTTCCTGCAGGATGTGACCCCCTCCGTGGTCTAGTGGTAGAGCGTCCGCCCGCGGAGCGGAAGATCCGGGGTCCGATCTCCGGCCGCATCATACCAAAGACGTTAAAAGATGGTACTTGTTGTTTCCCTGTCTGGCGTTTGGCATTGAGGGGCTTAACAAGGACTGGTCGGCTCGGAGTCAATATACTGTGTATATGTTGATGTTCATGTTAAACATGTGCACAAGTATCACTTGGTGTTTTTGCAGGATGTGAAATTTCATTGTGAATAGCTACATAATCACATCATTAGTTCTTGTAACATTTGTCAGTGAGGTGGGTTGAAACTGGGGTTCTCAAATCCTTATAAAATGTATAAGAAAGGTGTTATTTTTGTAATCACCACTCAGCAACTTAAATATAGACACAACAAGTACACTGCTTGTATAGTATTGTCTGCACGATGTTTATACCAAACTGTTTTCATTGATTTTAAAAGTCTCTCATAACCTCCTGGCAGTTTTTGTTCTTATTTTTAGCTACATACTGTTATATATTAATCTGTTCCTTAGTACCTTAGAAAACTTACAACTTTCTGGATAACAACTTCTGGTTTATTGCATATGGTGATGTTTCGATGTAGATTCTTATCAAGCTTATCACCGTTATCAAGCTGAAGTGATGACCATCAAGTGATGAGAGGTATGCATGACATGTGGGAGAAACTTGAAGTGGTGCAGGTCTTAGACGTTTATCACTTCGGTGAAACCCATGAGTAAGGGTATGGTGCTGACAAACCTAGAAACATCATTAGGGCGAACCGGGATTCAAACCCACAATCACAGGTTTCTGGCATGGGCAAGGGACGCAACTCTGCACAGCGAATCTCGGCGCCTTAGACAACTGACCACATGACATGTGATAAGCAGCAGATTAACATTGACAAAAACAGGTAGAATACAGATATTTGGATGAAGCCAAATGTAGAGTGAGAATAACAAATGGTTCACAGGTATTGAAGCACACGGGTATTGAAGCACACCGGTAATGAAGCAGATGTGTTGCGACAAGCTGATTGGACCCGAATTAAAATGGCATATTGCTTGATGAGATCTTCATAAACAAGATGCAATACCCTTGATCTTTGTTGATCAACATGATCAAAGGTTTGTGATGGAGTATTTCTATAGCTTCTGAGAATTTTTTTCATTGAGGTCCTGATGATTTAGTACCATGAAGAATGTACCCTGCAAAATATGTTTGTACAGAAAGTGAGACTTGAACAAATATATATGTATTTCTATGTCTATAAATGAATATACATCTGACATGCTTGTCAGTATTATTTACCGTTGCTCAGATCACTGACTATGGTCCAGTTTATAGCACTGGCATTACTGGAGTGGTTGTAGTGAGTGAGTGAGTGAGTTGGGTTTAACGCCCCTTTTAACAGTTTTCCAGTTATATCACGGCGTGTCAGCTCCATGTGGGAGGAAAGCCCGAAGTGATGCAGGTCTCAGACTTTTACCACTTAGGTGAAACCCATGAGCACGGGTATGGTGCTGACAAACCTAGAAACATAATTTGGGAGAACCGGGATTCGAACCCACAATCATAGATTTCTGGAGTGCCCAAGGGACGAAACTCTGCACAGCGAATCGTTACCCGTGCCTCCTGGAGTGGTTGTTTACACTGAGAGATGCAACTCGACACCAGCCAGTCTGATGTGTCCAACAGCTGTAATGTTTTGGGTGTCTGTAGTGCAAGTTTGTTGGTTTGTTGTTTAACCAGCGTTAGAAATTGGCACTAGTCCTGTAGTCCTCAACAAACTGCCCAATGGTAAAGGTATCCTAAGGACTAGCAGAAATTGGCCAGTTTTAAGGGTTTTGCTATATGTTATCATTATAAGGACTGGTGGACAAAAACTGTTAGTTTCTAACGCTGGTTTAACGCCAACATATGTATTGTAACTGTTCTCTACATTGGTTGTACAGTTCAAAGTGCTGTCATTGAAGCCCGAGAACCAGCGATATGGTCACTGGATGTATGAAGATATATTGTTATGCACCTCACCATCGCACTTGTAGTAGCATATCTACACAATTATGCAAATCAACATGTAAAGCACACTGAAAGGCTTGCATTGGTGCCGCCTGTTCTTATTTCAGAATAAGTGTGTCTGTCAACAAACAAGAGAAAAGGTCACGTGATAAGCCTACTCACACTGAAAAAGGTGAACAGAGGAGAATAAGTTGGGGGTTATCGGCTATTGTTTGCTAACACTGGATTAAGGGGTGGGTGAGTGGGGGTGGGGGATTTTTTTTTATGCCCTGGGGTCCTTGAATTTAAGCCTATTCCAATAGTATTTGGATCAGGGACTGACCCAATTTTGAATTTTTAACATTAGGGTTATGAAAACGACCCAATGTCATTCAGTTATACTTGTACAGTAGTGTCTATATAAATCTTAATGAAGCTTTATGACGTTAATGAAAGTAAAAATGAGCATGCAAGAGCTGCTGAGAGATTAGGCCTAAATAACACAGGAGTAAGGAGGGTCATTGCATAATACTCAACAGGGAATAGAGTGAGCATGCATTGAATCACGCAAGTAGTGCCTGCAGACACACAAGCAACATGACCACACCTGACAATTGGCCTTCCCAGGTGATCATACATACTCGAATATAGTCCTGTCACCAGAGCATTTCATCAATAATAAGACTATTTATCATGATCATGTCTATTTCATAAGAAATAATATGTTGTATTTTATCATTTTTATGTATATTCTGCAGATATTTCCAAACACCAATAGTGGCACACAATTATAAAATATGTAAATAAATTCATTAATCCACAGACTAGTCAGATATGTGATATAGCGCTGTCTACCTTGGATACTGAAGATAGTTACGAATCCTAATCATACTAATTAACAACTAAATTCAGGTTCTGTTGCAAAGTGCATAGGCCAACCAGAAGGCATTATGTCATAAACAAGTCGTCAGTGGTAAAAGTAACACTTACTGTATTCCAATGCATATGGCAGACAGACAGACCTTATTCAGTACTGTAGGGCCAGATTCCAAACAAAAATTATTATATGCAAATGCTGAATAAACAGCTGGAGGAAAGTATGCTTTATGATACAGGGAGAGGTGATTTGCTTCTAAACTTTAGTACTCTACAACAGAATTTAATCAAACATTTAATAATATGGATATTGTCGGTTGACATAAGTCTTACACAGGTTTCAGTTATTGGTAGATTTATGAGATGGTTAGTGAAACATTCTCTTCTCAGTTGGGAATAGCTGTCACATGTCAACAATACATGTAATTCATCCTCAGCGTAATCTAACCCTCTGGGATTGTAGAATAAACAACCGTTCGGTATATGGAGTCTTAGTATGGCGGCCGCATTCAACAGCATGTCTGAAGTCATTACACTGAAAGTTTGTTGATATTTTCAATTGATAAGAGGTCACAAGTTAAATTGATGACAAAATAGGTTAAATATATGTTTAACAAATAACACTTGTTGTATGTAACTGGTGTGTGTATGTTGTATGGTAATCAATGTGAATATCACATGAATATTAACCCATGGTAATAATAGGATTAGCCAGACCAGTATTTATAGCTACAGCTTCATAAAAAAAAATTAACAGACAGTGTAGTGCTACGACATAAGGCATGTTCTCTTACTAGAATCCTCACAGCTCAGTAGGTGTTATTTAATCCATAAAATTAAACATTGTACTCAACTGAGGAATGCACTGTTCTGTCACTACTGAACAACATTACCAAATAAGGGTTGGTAATGATGGTGTAGGTCCCCATCCATCTACTATGATTTTACTGGGACTCTGCTAAATCTAATCAATGCTAATTGTATGACAGAGCTCATGGGAGTGAGTATGTCTTTCCAAAGATTCCAGCAATACTACTGCAGGGGGAAACCGGAAATTAGGCTTCACGATCATCAGGATAATATTGCATCCATAGTGGGAATCGATTCTTGGTCTTTGGAGTAACATTAACAAGCATAGGCTTTAACCACTAGGGTACCAGAGCACCAACATCGCTCCAATTTAAGAGGGTCGTAAGGTCAGTGCTCCTATATCATATCTGAACCAAGGGAACCGTAAATCTTTCACTTGTAGCTACAACAAGGACCCCTTGACTTCCATGTTTCATTTTGAATATTCAGCACGCATACACAAATTAATCAGTATTCATGCAACTCACCCTGTGGGATCATCATTATGCCGACAGTTATACCAGCAACGATATCACTTGGCAGATCCTGCTTCAATTTGTAGTTCTTAAACATCTTTATAAAAGGCAGATTTCTGGAAACAGATTTCTTAAAAGTTCTGCTTGTGCATTTCTTAGCAGCCCAGCTCTTTAGCCTTTCTCGTACTGTTGGAGTTTCGGGCTTTTTCCGAAAAGCCTCTTCAAAATCCACAACTTTGACAAACTTGCGATCATGGCTGTCCAAGTCAGTATTCCAGGACTGAAGTGCATTCCCTTCTTCCCCTGTCCCTGATTCCACAGTCATTCTCAGAGTAATTTCTCAACTGAACTAGGGCAAATCAAGTTGTATCACTGAAGACACTGAAACATTAAAATGCCATTGATCAGCTGTCATTGCTCAATTTTTCCAGGTGTGTCAGATAACATGCATATATTACTATCCCATACACAAATAGATGACACTCAACCACTATATTCACAGAAAATAAATCACCATATTTCACGGATCAATCGACTGAATATAAACAGGAAATTATTAGCAGATCCATATTCACGCAGCGTGTAACAGGTGCGCTTTCAAAATGTGGATTTCCACGTATACGTGTATTCATACGCAAGGTATTACTTTACAGAGGTGTAAATAATGGTGTCAGTCGAGATCTGGCTGGCCACTTCACAAAGTATTCATCACCGTGTAACGCGTGACACCTAATAAACTGCCTGCATTAAGAATACTCCAGTATTAGTTTCTAATCCTTGTCAGATCATTACAAATTTGGATCACATAGAATACGACATTATGTAACTTGTAAGTCCTACCGATTAATGTTGACGTCACATTATCTTTGCATCTCTGAACGCTCTGTAAAGTCTGTGAAACATTTTCAGGAGCAGCCGACAGTTCTTTTGAACATCACTGGTGTGTGACAAACTCTTTTTCAGGCGAGTGATTCCTCTGCGGCTATTAAGGGTTTAACTTCCTGTCCACGTGAGGGAATCCCGTTTGTAAATAGCCCTGACAGTTCTATCTAAACTCTCATTGGATGAGTGATCTGACCTTTATGATGGACCAATCAAAACACCGTTTACTAGTTCCATGATTTTCCACGTTTGCTCGTGAAAGTCCGTTAACCTTTACGGGAAAAGCGAGTGGCCACATACCCATTCGTCACCACTCGCCCCTTTCCGTAACCTGCTGGTCACGGAATGACACGGGTTGGTCACGAATGCCCACCTTCAATATTGACACTGAGGTGAGCGAGTGAAACCTACATGATAGGGAGTTGTTTCCCTTAGGCCACCTACCATGTGTTCAGCACTTCTACAGGTAAAGCTTGAGAGAGGCGTGACTATGTAATACTGATTTGATGAAGCGAGTTTTAGCTAGGTTTGTTCAGAGACGATAAAATAAATTATTTTATGGTCTTTGATTACTTGTACAAAGAGATGAGTGTGTTCAAACTTTCGGTCGCATCGGCGATATATTTCACATGGATGAGCGAGTGTACCTGATGCAGGCTACAGTGTTCTTAGGATGTTTCAGAGGGTTTTAAAGTGTACCGATTTTTATGGATCCGATAAACTATAGATAGATATAGATGGACGGATGGATGGATGGATGGGTGAATGGATAGGTAACTTATTATTTTTTACAGCAATGTTTGTATTCTTAAAGGTGTGGTGTGATGTTGACATTTCTTATTTCACATGTACAGTACGCTAGACAGGGAAATACATAGTATATGGTTCGTTTCGTAAATAAATAGTTTAAATAACGGTCATTAAAACCACACGAGGCAATATTCATGCTATATGACGGCGTGTTACCATAGTTACCATGGCGTGGTGTTTCTCATAGTAACCATGTCGTGGTGTTTCTCATAGTAACCATGTCGGGGTGTTTCTTATAGTAACCATGTCATGGTGTTCCTCATAGTTACCATGTCGTGATGTTTCTCATAGAAACAATGCCGGGGTCTTCCTTTAGTAACCATGTCAGGATGGTCCTCATAGCAACCATATCGGTGTGTTTCTCATAGTAACCATGTCGGAGTGTTTCTCATAGTAACCATTTTGTGATGTTTCTCATAGTTACCATGTCGTGGTGTTTCTCATAGTAACCATGTCGTGGTGTTCCTCATAGTTACCATGTCGTTGTGTTCCTCATAGTTACTATGTCGTGGTGTTTCTCAAAGTAACCATGTCGTGGTGTTCCTCATAGTGACCATGTCGTTGTGTTCCTCATAGTTACCATGTCGTGGTGTTTCTCATAGTAACCATGTCGTGGTGTTCCTCATAGTTACCATGTCGTGGTGTTTCTCATAGTTACCATGTCGTGGCGTTTCTCATAGTTACCATGTCGTGGTGTTTCTCATAGTTACCATGCCATGGTGTTCCTCATAGTAACCATGTCGTGGTGTTCCTCATAGTTACTATGTCGTGGTGTTCCTCATAGTAACCATGTCGGGGTGTTCCTCATAGTAACCATGTCGTGGTGTTCTTCACTGTAACCGTGTCGTGGTGTTCCTCATAGTAACCATGTCGTGGTGTTCCTCATAGTTACCATGTCGTTGTGTTCCTCATAGTAACCATGTCGGGGTGTTCCTCATAGTAACCATGTCGTGGTGTTCCTCACTGTAACCATGTCGTGGTGTTCCTCATAGTAACCATGTCGTGATTTTTCTCATAGTAACCATGTAGGGGTATTTCTCATAGTAACCATGTCAGGGTGGTCCTTATAGTAACCATGTAGGGATCTTCCTCAGAGTAACCATGTCGGGGTCTTCCTTTAGTAACCATGTCAGGGTGTTTCTCATAGTAACCATGTTAGGGACTTCCTTAAGTAACCATGTCGTGGTGTTCCTCATAGTAACCATGTCGGGTTGTTTCTCATAGTAACCATGTCATGGTGTTCCTCATAGTTTCCATGTCCTGATGTTTCTCATAGAAACAATGCCGGAGTCTTCCTTTAGTAGCCATGTCAGGATGGTCCTCATAGCAACAATATCGGTGTGTTTCTCATGGTAACCATGTCGTGGTGTTCTTCACTGTAACCATGTCGTGGTGTTCCTCATAGTAACCATGTCATGGTGTTTCTCATAGTAACCATGTCGTTGTGTTCCTCATAGTAACCATGTCGGGGTGTTCCTCATAGTAACCATGTCGTGGTGTTCCTCACTGTAACCATGTCGTGGTGTTCCTCATAGTAACCATGTCGTGATGTTTCTCATAGTAACCATGTAGGGGTATTTCTCATAGTAACCATGTCAGGGTGGTCCTTATAGTAACCATGTAGGGGTCTTCCTCAGAGTAACCATGTCGGGGTCTTCCTTTAGTAACCATGTCAGGGTGTTTCTCATAGTAACCATGTTAGGGACTTCCTTAAGAAACCATGTCGTGGTGTTCCTCATAGTAACCATGTCGGGGTGTTTCTCATAGTAAGAATGCCATGGTGTTCCTCATAGTTTCCATGTCCTGATGTTTCTCATAGAAACAATGCCGGAGTCTTCCTTTAGTAACCATGTCAGGATGGTCCTCATAGCAACCATATCGGGGTGTTTCTCATGGTAACCATGTCGGGTTGTTTCTCATAGTAACCATGTTGTGGTGTTTCTCATAGTAACCATGACAAGGACTTCCTTATAGTAACCATGTCGGGACTTCCTCAAAGTAACCATGTGGGGGGTCTTCCTTTAGTAACCGTGTTGGGGTGTTACTAAATTAACCATGTCGTGGCTTTTCCCATAGTAACCATGTGCTGGTGGTCCTCATAGTAACCATGTCGTGGTGTTTCTTATAGCAACCATGTCGTGGTCTTCCTTAAGTAACCATGTGAGGATGGTCCTCACAGTAACCATGTCGTGGTGTTCCTCATAGTAACCACGTAGTGGTGTTTCTCATAGTAACCATGATCTTGGTGTTTCTCATAGTAACCATGTCAGGCTGTTTCTCATAGTAACCATGTCAGGCTGTGTCTCATAGTAACCATGCCAGGGTGTTTCTCATAGTAACCATGTCAGGCTGTTTCTCATAGTAACCATGCCAGGGTGTTTCTCATAGTTACCACGTGGGGGTGTTTCTCATAGTTACCATGTTGGGGTGTTCGTTACAGTAACCATTTCGGGACTTCCTTATAGTAACCATGTCGGGTGTTCCTCATAGTAACTACGGCTTAAACGATATCCCGGGACTCCGATGCATCGCGATTCACTCCATACGATACGGTGCGCGATTTGTGAGGTGCTGTATCTCGATTTTTTAATAAACTTTTATCGCAGATACGTTTTTAATGTGTTTCAAATCAATTTCCAAATTCAAACCGAGTCATAAAAACGAAGGGACAATAAAGTTTTCGCTACACACACGTACCTCTCCGAAAATACAGCGGCTATGCTAGCTTTGTATATCATGATCAGCAGCAGTTCAAGCTTTCTGATTGCCTGAGCGATCTCTAACTCAAACATGTCGGAAAAAGCAGACGCTCGCCCTTTGCTAGAGAAACCACCAGGGACTCACAAATCATTAGTTTGGGAACATTTCGGGTTCCCAGTAACATTTAAAGATGGAATCAAACATGTGTTCAAAGATGAAACGTGGAGTCGCATGTGTCACGCATGGTTGCAATACAGGGGCAACACACATACGCCGCCATCACCCAAAGATAGACAGTAGAGGTTCCACGCGTTCAGGGAAAAAGACAAAACCTTTTACTGACTTTACTTAATCCCAAACGGATTTTGACATGAATGATCAGTCACACCCAGTTGGTCACCTTCGTTTACCAGATGCTTTCAAAAACAAACTGACGGCAATGTCAACACGTGCCCGAGGCATTCCTAGGAGTATCGACGTACATATGGCTTTTGATATGAGACCATTTTCTGTAGTGGAGAATTTTGGATTCAGAAATCTGCTGCAATCATTAGAGCCAAGATACGAAATTCCACCGAGAACCCATTTTGAGGACACTGTTGTTCATGCTAGTACCAGGGATCACGTCCTTGAAACGCTGACAATGCATGTTCGTTGGCCCTAACTACCGAAATGGCAGATGATCCATGAAGTATATACTTTATGACTCATGAACATTAATTCACTTCCATTTAATTGTTTCATTTTAATAAACTAAGTTTAATTCATTTATCTCTTTTCTTCTCTTGTCACTATGTGTATCGTAGCGTATCGAGATACGTATCGAATCGTGATGTAAGTATCGAGATACGTATCGTATCGTGACCTAGGTGTATCGTTACTATCATATAGGGGTCTTCCTCATAGTAACCATATCGGGATGTTCCTCATAGTAACCATGTCAGGGTCTTCCTTTAGTAACCATGTCAGGGTGTTTCTAATAGTAACCATGTCAGGGTCTTCCTAAATTAACCATGTAGGGGTATTCCTCATAGTAACCATTTCAGGGACGTCCTCATAGTAACCATGTCAGGGTGTTTCTCAAAGTAACCATGTTGGGGTCTTCCTCATAGTAACCATGTCTTGGTGTTTCTCATAGCAACCACTTCGGGGTCTTTCTTTAGTAACCATGTCAGGGTGTTTCTCATAGTAACCTTGTAGGAGTCTTCCTCATAGTAACCATGTCGTGATGTTCCTCATAGTAACCATGTCAGGGTGTTTCTCATAGTAACCATGTCGGGATCTTCCTAAAGTAAACTAGGGGTGTTTCTCATAGTAACCATGTAGGGATCTTCCTCATAGTAACCATGTCGTGATGTTCCTCATAGTAACCATGTCAGGGTGTTTCTCATAGTAACCATGTAGGGGTCTTCCTCATAGTTACCATGTCGTGATGTTCCTCATAGTAACCATGTCAGGGTGTTTCTCATAGTAACCATGTCGGGATCTTCCTAAAGTAAACTAGGGGTGTTTCTCATAGTTACCATGTCAGGGTCTTCCTTTGGGTTGACGAAGTCATTTAGGCTAGTGGGCTCATATTTGTCATTACTTTGCATGGGTATGTGACATTATATATTATTCTTATTTTGTAATATTAATGGGAAATATCTTTTTAAATCATTTCGTGTGACGTTAATTCCACGAAAGGCACAACAGTCTTTGAAGTTTGAATAACGTCATCACAGCTGACCACACTAGTTTTACAAAAATAGTTACAAAGCAAGAAACTTACATCTACTTCAAATTTAATTTGCAGAGGCAATACCAGTCATTCTACTTTTTCCAGTATAACACATCAATCTAATCATTAGTGTTGGTGGCGATATAAGCCTGAAAATACGTATACACATGAATTGATACAAGCCTCAAACGTTTGCGAGAACTTGTTCCATAAAAGGAATAACTCATGAATATTAATGACCCCACGACCTAGTTTGGCGATGTTCGTAGAAGTGAGTTCTGCTGTATTGCCATCGCATTTGTACATTTTAATCCAATTATAAGTCATAATACTTTTTTTTTAAATACTAAAAATAGTAGTTCGTAATGCGGGTTTGTTTACGTAGTACATATTCTCAACAACACGTGCGTTTAGTTTCGAATGTTGGCCCACCTCGAACTTTCGATTAGGCAAACGGAGTTAGCTCCCTTCTGGAACCACCGATAATGCGGTTTCGCCGTCCTTATAGAAACCATATAGGGGTTTTCCTCATAGTAACCATGACGGGGTCTTCTTTAGTAACCATGTAAGGACGTTTCTCAAAGAGGATAACGATTACCGCGTGTCCTTGTCTCGTAAACAAAGCTGGAAAAAGCAATTAGATGAGCACACGTTGTCTCACCTATCTGCCAGTGATACAGTTAAAAGGTACCCATTATTATCATTCAAAGAATTTTGATTCAATGATCGGAAGATTCTACCATGAATAATATATTCCAATATCGTGTTTCTTCAGTTGCATCTTTTACTAGAATAATGTGAGATGGGGTTTAACGTTGCGTCCACTGATATAGCGACGTACATGCACGTATTGTGTGAGTGGCTGTTTGAACTAGTCTGGACTAATTCTATATATACTAGTATATACACACACATACATGACGTCTCAGTTATAAGAAATGTTCCGAGAATAGGTGTCCAGAATGACTTTGCTGAATATGGCTTGTCAAAGCTACCTATCTGCATCCAACACATCCTAGCTAGGCGTCAATGTAATTATATCCTGGTTCGAATCCCACCAAGGGTTTATACTGTCAATACTTGGTGTTTGACTGGGGTCCTGTCTACCTGAACTAGAAAAAGCGCCAAGTTTGCTGTGCGAACGGCAGTTGAGCCAGCTTAACATGGCGTCCACCATCCACGAGCTATATGAACACGAGCGTCTATTTCCGGTGAAAATAGGCTTCTTTGCGGCTAAGGGAAGGGGCGAGGTTAAAGATCCACGAGTACTGGTAAATCACGCCAAGAGGCACACACTGAATTACACATGAACACTATACATCTCAATAAAATCATTTATTTCTATTTCCGATACATTTTGCCCACAAAATTCGGGTACTCCTGAGTAATAAGAAGACACCAGTTTATCCCCATTCGTCACCATTCGCAACTTTCCGTAACCCACGGAATGACACGAGTGGTCACGGATGCAGTTCATCAAGATGTTAACGGTGCATTTAGCACATATACAAGTGTAACACAATGTCTATACATGATAATGATGATTAGATTTTGTAATGACTGTAACATTATCATCATAATGTTATAACTAGAACTGTTTCCATAGATACAATTTCGAGTTTAGATATCATTTATGGACGTATTTGTACAATAACATATATACAAGTTGTATGAATTATATATATACACATGAAAGACGATGAAAACATCACTGATATGAGTTTATGTACAAATGAATATTCTACTCCCTCGTATTCTTTCTATGTAAGATAAGTACTTGTCTTGCAATTCAACGTGTTTCTACGATCTAATAACTACTCTTTACATTGATGCAACAACTTTCTTTGCGTAAAGCATTCGTCACCACTCGGATATTTACGTAATATTCACGGCTTGTCCCGGAATGAAAGAGACTATAGTCACGTGGTATATGAAACTACCCACAAACCAGTGACGACACAAGCACTAAACATTAAAATATAGTTGGGCAAGAACATCCCAAAACGTAACTGTTTTATAAGCCAAGTATCTGTGCTGACGACCATTTGGTGTTTGAGACGATGAATTTTTTTATGCGACATTAAATGTTAACGGCATTTTCTGACGACTTATTCCTTTGAACATGTCCATGTTTTTTATAAACAAAACTGTCTCAAATTATCATACGTTTGAAATTGGAATCATCAGGATTGCCTACAGAAGCGTTCAGCTATCTAGAGTATACGTTTCGGTGGCCTGTTTTTTTTTTCAACTCCATGGGCCTTGTTGTGTATGTAAGTATGGAAAGCATGGTTTGGATTAATAAAAAATAATCTTCGATGATTGCACAAATAAGGATAAGTAATGTTTATCTAAAAATTGAACCAATGGGGTTAATGTATCAATGTATCCATATGAAGCCACTGAGATTCTTGGGTCCCAGTACTACTGTATATGTTCCCCGATATAAATGTCAACTTTCCTTTCCCTTCATGAGTATTAACCCATCCTGGGTTATCCAGGGAATTAAATATCCATTTTGCATTTTGATTGGACGGTTATTTTTAGCGTCGTTTCGGACTCGAAACCATGCTATGATAAAGCATGGGTCCAGGGTATTTTGTACAAATGGAGATTTAACACACTGGATACTCGAGGATGGTAACCTGGAGTAACTAACACCACAAAGAAACTTTTATCCACAATGGACAACGGCAGGCCGAGTATCTTCAGTTCGCTTCCAAATGTTGCGGATATTTAGACATGGCCTTGACCTTGACCCCCATGTCTACGGCCTTGACTTTTAAAACGCAGGGTTCAAGGATGCCTTGATAAAGGTTTCTCAGCAGTCATGTCTACATATGCGTGATGTACTGAAACAAAAAGAATACGACCTCAACACAGGAACCTATTATTAGGATTAAAGAACATCTTCGTAATATTACCAATATAAGGCATTGTGTAGTTTCAAAATGAACCACATACCTGGTGTTCATAAATATAGTTGTCCTGGGTAAACGAATAAGTGATTGAGAAGATTACATTCATTGTTAACAGAACACTTAATAAATAAGGGAGAAAGACAAATTATACTTTATATCATTATGTTATTACATTTATACAATCATATATTAAGCAATTATTGAACATATGATCACCTTTTGTAGCGCTAGAATCACTGAGTATCGAACGTATTAGTAACATCTATGACATATTTTTAAAGAAGAATCTATAGAAAGTGTTATGTACATAGATCTAATTGTGCTGTGCAAAGCTATGAACTCAAAAGGAAATAAAATATTAATAAGCAAACATAAATAGATGAAATTTGTGAGGTGCAATGATGTCTATCAGTGAACTGGAATGGTAATCTAATTAGAATTGGAATGGTTATCTAATTAGACTGTAAATCTACACTCAGATGGTTTTATTAGTGTCACAACAATAATATTAAAATATATTGTTCCAAGAACGTCTTGGCATCTATTAATGTGAAGGAATGATTGAAGCTTGTTTTTAGACAAATTCAGCAACATTCCAGCCATATCTCGGCGGCCCGAAAAAAAGACGACAAAATCTTGCTTCGACAAACCAGCGGTTCAGAACATGAGCGACGAACCAAGATTTTCGATTACGATGACACTGTCAGGTCACACATTGTGGCCACCCGATCATCATTTAAGATGGTTTTAAAGCCTATTTGTTTAGCTAAGTCGCTGATCAAAACCATTTATGAACTGGTTGTATTTCAATGGATGGTATGATACGTAATCAGTATGTGAAGGAATCTGTCAATGAGGATAGATTGGCATTTCTGTGGACTGAAATTTCCATTTGCGATGGCTTTAAGCCAATATTGATTTGTTTCGAAGATATATCCCTCAGATTGGAGTAATTTTTACTGTTATATAGATGGAAAACAAGCATTATTTGAATGTCTCAAGTGATATCTTGTATATGTTCTTATACCTGTTTGCTGATCCATAAAGCAACTTAAAATAGACTGATTATTCTGTCTTCGCATTTGCGAAAACTTCCTCTCTGTTAAAATCAGAATAATGTGAACATACTTCGTTGTTCATATGTTCTTTTGATGTTCTGAGGTAAGTCGGAAATACGAAAATGAGAATATATCAGTCTTGTAATGCATAGACAACTCAAAATAAAGGTTCGCCAACTCCTGAAATAAAACTAAATTAATGTAAAAGAGTAAAGAAAATCTAATATAACAAAGAGAAAACTAGAAAAAAGAATAAAAAGCAAAAAGTGAACTAAACAAGGATCTACAAAGTATACAACAATGAGGAGACAACTCTGTGATCGAGTGAGTGGTTTACCACTAAAACCGACGTCATGATTGGACAGGCAATAACTTGTCCTCTATAGTGGGTTCCGTAAGGTCCGATTCCTGAAAACAATCTGATGTTTGTAGTCTGTGCCTGTTATGACTCTACACCACACCGAGGAAGTGTTTAATGTCATGGTATATCATGACAGATTTATATGCGAGGAAATCCAGAATTAAGCTACGCATGGCCACATGAAACCAAAGATCACGTTATCGTGACGAATCCGGGATTCGAAACACTACAGGCGGACACTGGCACGTCTATTGGAGGCAACTCGACAACAACTCGGGCATCCGGAACCCTCCTCATTGAGGCCCAGAATACAAGCTGATGCTAACAAACTCTCATTGCCTCTTTGAGTCGAGCCTCTGGTAAGGTGATTCTTAACAATCTTTCAGCCATTGAGAAAATGTTATATATTTGCGTGTATTAGCAAGAGGCATGTTGAAAAAGCAAACATTTAATATACAAAAATGTAAATGCGGAATAGTGTAAGTAGGTGAACACGTTCTAACTGAAAAATAATTTACAAGAATTATGACACACATGATGCGATTGTAAACATGCAAACGTAAGCATTTATTAGCAAAAGTGTACAATGTATTAGTTTAAGCACACACATAAGCACGTGCGAATAACTTTTAACTCCACTTTTTTACAAGTGTACTTCAAATGCCGATATATATATAGTTTAGTATCTTAGCATAAGCGATAAGGGAGAGAATTCTTGGAATATTATAATAGACAAAAACGTACCACATCTTGGACGAGATCATTGGCTTTACGTTCGGTAGAGGCCGCCGTGACAGCATCATATGTCGTGAGGTAAATACAGTCATGATATGTCTCCACGAACTTCGTTTGTTCCAGCACGTACCACATCTCATCTGAAAATGAATATGAAATCAGAACATACAGTAATCTACGTTTTTAACGAACACGCTTATAACGAACTGACGGATATAACGAACTTATGTTTTGATCCCGGCAATTTGCTGTTTATGTGCTGTATATATGCTTATAACGAACTGCGGTTACAACGAACTAAAATAAGGGGTCCCTTTGACTTCGTTATAACCGTAGTTTACTGTATATACAAATCTAATATTCCATAGTGAGGGCGGTGGGGTAGCCTTGTGGTTAAAGCGTTCGCTCGTCACGACAAAGTCTCGGGTTTGATTCTCCACATGGGTATAATGTGTGAAGGCCATTTCTGGTGTCCCCAGCCGTGATATTGCTGGAATTTTGCGGAAAAACGGCGTAAAATCATACTCACTCACTCACAATTGAGAAACTGTTCTCTGTTGTATCTGAATTTCACAATTCGTTGACGAAATCACTTTTTATTTATTTGTTTTATAAGCGATCTTATGGTTGTAGAAAAACACATCATGAACTAAGTTTTTAGCATATAACTAAACAAGAATAGGGATTGGTTGGTCACAGAGGCAACTAAGCCACAGTATATAAGCAGTATTTGGGAAGATTTGAATTCCGGGTATGACTATAAGCCCCCAGCAACCCATTCTTGTAAGAGGCGACTAACGGGATCGGGTGTTCAGGCTCGCTGACTTGGTTGATGCATACATCGTATCCCAATTACGAATATCAAATATCATGATTTCAATCATTGGATTGTCTTATTTAGGCTCGAATATTTACGGACCGCCGTCATATAGGTGGAGTATTGCTGATTGAGGCGTTAAACAACTATAATAATGAAGCGCGATAATTCTGTACATTGAGTTATTTTACATTGCATTCGAACCTATGCTGAATACATTCATACAAATCTTACATATGTTTAGGTTTTATCTGTGTATAAATGCAACAAAAGACATTTTAAGGAATTTTGCCAAATGTATGTCTTTGAATTGAACGTAGAAAATATTGGTGAACTTTAGCTATCAATCAGCTGTAAAACAGATAATTATACTGTTACCTGTCTTCTACTGTTTGTCCTCAAAGTTGTAACGTTATATGCATCAAAGTTAAACCCAAAAAAGAAAAATAATTCCGTGATGCAAGATTTTAAGTCAATACGACACTTGAAATAAGATAAAGCCACATGCAGACCAGTCTTTACATGTAAATGACGTTCGTGACTTTGACCTTCTGTTGCATAATGCGCCCTCCCTCCCCAAATTTCGAAAATTGCTATGTCACTCCAACTGCATGTGAAGATTGTTTACAAATCAACGTCTACCGGCTACCAAGGTATACCAGACAATTGCGTTGTGCTTGAGTTTTGAACTATGTTACATCAATCACACCTACTCTTGTTTATAACCTGATCAAATAGACATTTCAAACGTCATAACTGTGACCTTGACCGCGACGATATGCTAATTGTAAGTCGGGTTCACCCACAGAGGAGTGTTTACACGACATATTAAGTGCTGTACTGTGAATATCGTTGCCTAACGGATTAACCTGTGTACCTTTGTGACAACCGTCGTCTCGGCATGAGTGGTTTTTGTGTTGTCATGTGACACAGTCTGACTAAAGAACACGTAGACTGACATCTGTACTGTCATAACCAGTCATGGGGAGATAACTGATTAGGAATGTGACGGGTGACGTCACGGCTATGTCAACGAACACAGTGCTTGTCATCTGAAATCACTTAATATTAGTGTAATTGATCTTTGCAGAAAATGTGGCTTAATGTTTTGAAATGTTACAACTTGTCGCATTCGCATCTTCCGCAAAGTTTTAAAAATCTGTATGGTATTTTAATATTTATATTTTAATTTTACTTAGTAAAACAATATGTAGTTTTGTTCAGTTTTGAAGTTCGTTTTTATTCTGAGGTAAGTAAAATCACAATCTATGCGAAAAGCGTATGTTGTCAGTCATGGCTATTCATGAAAACAACAAAGACGGCAAAAGGAAAAAAATAATAAAATGTATCATGTGATAAAATGTCTAAAAGTTACACGTATAATGGGACTAGGATTTGTAAAAAACCATCATGAACTTTTACACAGCACCCATTGTTTCAGAACCCTGTAACAATGTGCCACCTATTGTTCAAAGAATAAAACTTACATTATTAATTTGCGATGCAACAATACATCACTGTATGTGACGCCCCGAAAATGACACGTGTGACGTCGTGACGTCACCCAACGTACATCTGAGGTGAAACACTCTGTTCTTGTACCAGTAGCGACAAGATTAACCAGCGTCATAAATGTCGTTTCATCGCGTTTCATCACGTTGTCTCGGGCCAACACTTACACGGAAATTAAAGGATTTTATACCAATGTTTAGTAGTTTCATATGAAACAAGAATATTAATGCTGTTTAATGGCGCTATAATACGCCGTTATGAGAAAGAGTCTTGACACTGCGTGGCCTACCCAGACGATGGAAGGCTAATGCCACCATAGTTGACAGATGCCATCACGGACTGGTCATTTCTTATGAGGCTGGGGGTGGGTGTGGGGGTGGGGGTAAGGGAACTGGTCTTAGGACTGCTTCATATACTGCAACAATTCTTCGCCCTAACATTTTTCATGACCGCCCACCCCTACCCTCTTACACACAACCATTTCCTAATATTGTTCAAATTGATACATTTTTAATTTGAAAAAGTGAGTGAGTGAGTTGGGTTTAACGCCGCTTTTAACAATATTCCAGTTATATCGCGGCAGGTCAGCTTAATGTGTGAGGAAAGCCCGAAGTGATTAATTCGAAAAAGATATAATTTTGTCATTCCCCCTAATCTTACCGGGCCTCCACCCCACCCCCCTAATAAATGAACAGTCCCTTACTGTAGTTCCTGACAAAAGCGACTTCAGGTGGGATGGTACAAAGGACGGACTGTAATATATTAAGGGGTGATGGCCTTGGGGGGAACGAAGGTAAACATTCCTTCATAATTTTAACCGGTTTCCGCATTTTTAATAATTTCAATGCTACAAAACACAAAGGCATTGTTCGCGTATGTGAATATAAAATAATGTGAAGCAAATATATAGATATAGTAAATCTGTTCTCTTAAAGCGCAAATAACATTTAAAATAGAGGTTTTAGATAGAAGGAAATTAATCGAGACCCTTTGCATTCGTGTTTTACGTTACAAGTTACCAAATTCACAAAAAGCTTCTTAGAAAGGCCAACTATGGAAAATATATATTTAGATAGCATCAAAATCATTAAAAAGCATATTTATGTTTTCTTAACAATTTAACACTGATAGAAAGTTTCAAAACAGTATTCACAATTTATCAAACTTCTCTTTAATTATATTTTTCAAAGATTAGAAAATTTACAATTATTAACTTATTATTAATCTGTCAATGTAACCAGTAGTTCCAAGTTTTAAATTGTCGTGACTCGCATCGTCTCATATACCATATGAATTTTTTAAGGTATTAGGGAACTGTTTTTTCTGATCTATCCAAATATACAATCCATGGTGGTATGAGACAACATTAGCCTGTACACATTTCTTTGTGTTTACTTCCTCATTCTGTGTTGACGCCGCGGTGTATTCACGGACGACTCTCGTAACTCAACACTAGGTTAGCTACTCACAATCAGTAAACAATTTTTCTATTTTTCTCTGTCAACTATATACCAGAGACCATAAAATAGATATGGTCTCTGTATATACTATATCCTCTAGTGGTCAGAATTTGCTCAGATCTGAGCAGAGATTGTGGAGTTTCAAGTTACAAAATTACATTCCATGTACAGGCTCTGTGCTGGCCCGTATGCAGAGAAGGCTGGGAATAGTATAACGGAGATCATATTACTGAGCAAAGACAAAGAAGGTATGCAATCTTCTCATATCTTATATAGTTACGAACAAACACAATAAAGGTGTGAGTGAGGGAGTTGGGTTTAACGCCGCTTTTAACAGTATTCCAGTTATATCGCGGCGTTTCAGCTTTATGTCGGAGGAAAGCCTGAAGTGATGCAGGTCTCAGACGTTTATCACTTTGGTGAAACCAACGAGCACGGGTATGGTGCTGACAAACCTAGAAACATAATCGAGGCGAACCGGGATTCGAACCCACAATCATAGGTTTATTTCTGGCGTGCCCAAGGAACGCAACTCTGCACGAATTGGGGCTCCCTAGACGACTTGGCCACCCGTGCCCCCCACAATAAAACCCAAAAATAGAGACGATGCAGGGATTTATCTAGACCTGCTCAGAGGCCGATATTTGGCCCCAAGTGTGCAGTAAAATTCCCAAATCGAATTAAAAGAATCCCCATTAATATATGAAGCGAATCAATACAAGAGCTCACTGCTCATGAAAACTTACAATGAACTTTTATTAGTTGAGGCAATAAAGTTTAAAAGAGCTGCGCCAGTTGTGCAGATATTGATCTTTATATATTTTTTCTAAATTTGAAGACACCCATTGTGCAGAAGGAGCAACTGACGGGGGAAAGAAAGTACATGTATTCCGAGTTTGTTTTTATGTAATTAAAAATTGTTGCTACGTTTTATTACGTCCATTTAACCATCACTCATTCCTGAAACTGTTTGTAAAAAGTAATCTGTGGCTGGGTAATTTTGTGTATAATAAATTGGCTCAATGAAGACTGGGGTAGGAAACGAATTTGCAACCTTTCCATGTTTATAATATATATGACTACGTGGAGATATCAAGTATTTCACTGATAATAGGACCAATAAAGACGTTAATAATAATAAATCCCTGTAAGGCTATGATCCCAGCGTTTGTTTAATGAATAATTGTGTTCCCATGTGTGGTATTGACGGGACTCGGGAACGGGATTACAGAAGGTAATGTTTAATGGTGTTTCTTCTGCAAGTGAGTGAGTGAGTTTGGTTTAACGTCGCTTTGAACAATATTTCACTTATATCACGGCGTGTCAGATTCATGGAGGGAAAAGCCCGAAGAGCTGCAGGCTGTAGACGTTCAACTGACAAATAAAAGGGACAAAACTCTTTCCATTATCAAATGAAATCTGTGCTAAAAGCCAAGCACTTTGAACGATTCCAATTTTATCATAAGCACATATCTATGAATCACTATCAAATAGTGATGACACAAGGTGTTCGTTGGAAGGTGGGCGTATCCTGACCCACCGGTGTACCCTCACAAACACTTGCCAAGGCAAGTCAATTGTATACCTGAAGAAAAAAAAGGGGAACATATTGTACAAGTCAAAATAGCGATTTCCTAACACATTCTTACCTCTGACATTGCCAAGGAACACCGAAATTCCGACGTTATTGTAATCTGTGAAAATCTGAAACCGAACGAAAAATAAGATTTAATGAATTGAAAGGTTGTAAGAATAATTAAGTAGAAAACTGGTTTGACCTCTAAGTTTACAATATTAACGTATATTATTTATCATCTGATAATTGTGGCAATTATCAACTGACAATTCCTATTATCTGTCAGCTGTCAAGTCTGTTCAAACGGTAGAACGACAAACCTTCACGGATAATGATAGACTAACATTTAGTCTATGAAATGAACATATCGTACATAAAAAAACAGTTGTTCAGTTATCTTAATAAAAATATAATAAAAAGGAGCCCAGTGACACTCTTCATTTCCTGATACTGCAGTGATCTAGACTTGCCAAACATTATAGACTTGCATGGGCTATTTTTGATATATATTTGTATCAAGGTCTGTAAGACAGACTAGGATAATGACATAAACTTGAAATGACAAATTCAGAATATATGTCTTGTTTGAAGAAAGGCACAATGTGTTTCGGGGGAGAGAATGAATGTTGTTAAACGCCGTAGTCAGCAATATTCCAGCTATATCACGACCTCATGAAAATAATGAAGTCTGGACAAGGTTAAAACAAATGAGTTTCGTCCCACGCGAAGTGGCACAAGGTTTTCGAAATGGTGACAGATTTAATCCTAGCGAGGATTTACCGAACGTCAGAGACTTTAAAACCCGTGGAAATTCCGGAAGTGTCAATTTCACATTAAATTAGTGTTTCACACGTGGGCCCCACGGGGATTGCGCGTTACGATATAGGTCCCCAGAAACCTATGCTTGTCGTAGGAGGAGACTAAATGGATCGGGTGGTAATGTCATCGTATCTCAATAACGTGGATCGATGTCCATGATGTCAATCACTGGATTGTCTGGTCCAGAAGCGATTATTTACATGTTGCCGTCATACAGCTGACATGTTGCTGAATGCGGCGTAAAACAACGAAGAATTAGTCAGCTCAGGATTTTATACTAAATTATATCGTCTCTTTACCTGTTTGAATATTTTAACGCCGACCGGATCAATGAAGTGCATCGCTGTGCAGTCGATGACGATGTGGTGGAAGGGACGGGGGTCCTCCACGATGACGCCTGACAGAGACATCCTCTTGTTCATCTTCTCATTGTTACATGGGGGTTCGGGGTTGATGGTGATGCCATTCTTCTTTGGTTCCAGTTGCAATACAGTGGTTCCTTCGTTTATCAGCTGTTGCTGACTCTGAGAAAGAGCCATAATATTTGTAAATCACAATGTACCATAAAATTTGTAATTCACAATGTACCATAACACTGGTAAATCATAATGTACCATAACACTGACAATTACAATGTACCATAACATTGGTAAATCACAATGTACCATAACAATGGTAAATCACAATGTACCATAACAATGGTAAATCACAATGTACCATAACACTGGTAAATCACAATGTACCATTACAATGGTAAATCACAATGTACCATAACACTGGTCAATCACAATGTACCATAACACTGGTAAATCACAATGTACCATAACACTGGTAAATCCGATGTACCATAACATTGGTAAATCACAATGTACCATAACACTAGTAAATCACAATGTACCATAACACTAGTAAATCACAATGTACAATAATACTGGTCAATCACAATGTACCATAACACTGGTAAATCACAATGTACCATAACACTGGTAAATCACAATGTACCATAACACTGGTAAATCACAATGTATCATAACACTGGTAAATCACAATATACCATAACACTGGTAAATAACAATGTACCATAACACTGGTAAAACACAATGTACCATAACACTGGTAAATCACAATGTACCATAACATTGGTAAATCACAATGTACCATAACACTGGTAATCACAATGTACCATAACATTGGTAAATCACAATGTACCATAACATTGGTAAATCACAATGTACCATAACACTGGTAATCACAATGTACCATAACATTGGTAAATCACAATGTACCATAACATTGGTAAAAGTTATACTAACGTGTAGCCTGCTGAGATCTTGTTTTTCCAGTTTCTTCATCTTCTTAAGGATGCGCTCGGGCTTAGCACCTGCGACGGTGTACACATGGCGCATGAAGATGTCGGCGTTAGCGTAGTAGACGGGGGCGTTGAACCCGACCACCTTGATGCCGTTATATTTCTCCGCCTATAGAAGGAAAGATAGTTATAGTTTTTTTCATGATTTTTTTCCGATTCCAAAACCTCCAATCGTTGATTTATCAAGATCTGCAAATACTTATCAATGAGTGTCAGTTTTTACATCAGAAGACACGAGGGTGAGATGTTAAGGGATGGGGTATGTGGGGTCAGGATGGGTGGGTGGGGTGGAGTTGTGTGTGTTGGGGAGGGGGGGGGGGGGGGGGGGTGAGCGAGCGGGATGGCGGAAAAGGGGTGTTTAAAGGCAGTCGGGGGTTAGGGATAGGCACTGCAATTGTTTAAATTTACAGTAGAAGCTTTATTTCAAACATTATTCAGCCAATATGACAGAAGTTATCACGATTTTAACAAATAATAGAGACCTTTCTCTAAAGCGACTGGATCGTGTAGCAGACCCGGAAAAACGTGACATCAGTCCCAGAAAGGTACCTGTTTAACTTTTGTTAATAAAACTCCCGGAAATACCAAGCACGATTCAATGGCTTAGGTCAGGCGATGGAACACGACTCGTGACTGGCTTCCTCTATCGTCAAAATTCCATTACAATGAATCAGTTGTACACTCACCTTTTCATATTGTGCACCCTTCTGCAGGACCTCTACATCCGACACCTTCTCCAGGGATGAGGCTTTGGCTCTGTGAAGCAACATTGAACAACCACAAGTTGTATATATTGGAATTAAATTCACGTAGTTACAAAGTAGAAACTAGATAACCAATTATATGATTATGTGTTGACATTTGTACTCAACTATTTGTATTTATTTATGTTTAATACGTTTAAATATATTTTATTTCTGAATGATTATGTAACTCCTATTATATCGGCTGGACGCTTTACATTTATAAAAGAAATCTTAATTCTGAGTTATAACTATTAAATATGTATCTGCGAGAATATGATTATACATAAGAGGGTACCTACAGTCTGAGATATGGGTTGGATTACCAACATAGGTTCAATGAGATTCGCCGTGAGATTGCTGGAATATTGTGGCGTAAAATAATACTCAGTCACTGCATGTACTTGTGGGATTTGGAATCCTCTACTTACAGCTGCGTCCTGACGACGACGGTGAAGAAGGAGAACACGATGCCGATCATGAGGCCCATGTCGACGTGAAGGACGACAACGCACACGAACGTCACAATCCAGATAGCCTGCAACATCACCAACAAAGTGATAAAACAACTAGGAATGTTAATACTAATGAAAATGACGTGTACATGTTGTGGCGCCTGGATAAATCAACTTACGAACATGTAGCAATTTGTATTGCATATTTGAATATAGGTGAAGCTTTAAGTTAAAATTCATTCAGCAAATTTGAAACTACATCAAGACTTTGGGTGTCACGACGTTTTCAACGTATATTTACTGGTTTTTTTGTCTTATGTTAACGTGTAAACAATAGGGCTTTGTCTGAGAGCTAATACTTTCCCGTTTGTTATCAATGTGAAAATTATTTTTCGTTTTAACAGATATAATGTAATGTGACAACGAGGTGCTTACACAATCGTAGATGGAAATTCTCCAGAGTGATCTCAGCTCGAGAATCTGCAGGAACATGGACCTCAAAGCCACCATGATGATAGCGGACAGCACACACTGAAACAATATGTAAGTAGAAGATAAATTATTCAGGAGATAGTTTCTTTTCAAATTTAAGGTGTCACTACGTATTTGATACCGATAAATGTCTGACTGTTTATCGACACTGGAAATGCTAAAGTTATATTCCGTTGCACTGTCTTTCTACGTTAATTCTCTGGTGTGTGACAGCCATGGCGTCATTCAGGGATGCTATGGCGTCTAGTTACAATGGATGGTAACCATTTGTTTCTGTAACAATTAAACACGCCTGGTAGGCCAAATATGGAGAACAAACAACTGTATCAAAGGGAAAACAACTTACGAATTCACCTTTTGAAGGAGTAAGTATATACCCCAAAACGTTATGTTCCTCGTGACAAAAAGGAGTTGACATCCATAAATTCTCAAAGACTCAACTATTACAAAGTTCTTCTGATCAATAGTGATCAACTTAATATGTTATTAATGCGGTATAAATTTCGCAAAGTCGATTGCCACGAGGTGTCTCCGCTACTTGCAATAATACATTTTTCACAGTAATATTACGGGGGGGGATACCGTAGTTACACATTTAACCCATTTCAGGAGTCAAATCAGGCCCTGCCCCTCAACGCTCTAAATGTTCTAAGCTGTCTTGCTTATTTCAATAACTTATTTCAAACATAAACTGAACTGATGGGATAAAAAATCACGTTTTTAGCTACGAGTGATGTCAGACAATTGAAACCTATTCAGATGAATGACGCATCATATTTATCAACTCAATATATGTTGATTACTAATAACGTGTTGATATATTTGATATCAAAAGACACGAGGGTGTGATTTTATTTTTCATCCAACATCATTCCTCAACCTTTTTCATTTTGTAGACAGTAATAAGTAGTGTCTTAGTGTAAAAAGTACTGCTGACAGCTTCAGTAGCAGAGCCATAAGTACGTCATTTGATTGTTACGTCATGGTAACCAATGACGTCACAATTGTCTGCAAAGCATTGTGATGCATTTTTGTTGCAGCGATATCTACGATGTTGATATCGCTTGATCTCACCCAAGCGATATCTCCCGTGAGAGCCAGTTTTGGATGATAAATAACATTAATCGATACTCGTGCAGAGTACATACATAACTTATAGTATTCCAGCATTTATGGATACACATGCAGTGAGAGCAATCCTTCTGAAATAACCTACGTTAGGTAGAGACTGGAACAGCGGTCCAATGAAGAGTATCACAATTAGGACCATGCAAGCGGAGAAAATGCTGGTCACCTGAAATACAAGCAATGAGTTGGGTTTAAAATCGTTTCGAATAGTATCACAGTTATACCATGGCGTTCAGTGAGTGAGTTGGGTTTATCGCCGCATTGAACAGTATCCCTGTTATATCACGGCGTGTCAGCTTGATGTGTGTCGACAGCCCGAATCTCAGGCGTTTACCACTTTGGTGAAACACACGAGCACGAATATGGTGCTGACAAACCTAAACACCTAGCCAGAGCGAACCGGGATTCGAACCCATGGTCATAGGTTTATCGCTCATCTAAGGGACACAACTCACAGAGACTTGCGGCACCTCAGACCACCCGTGCCATCCCAGTACAAGTAATCGGGCATTTTGAAAACTCTGTGGTACTGCAGTAAAACATTCCTCCAACCTGTTGCATGAACTTAAGACCCGTGAAGATCCGGGTTAGAATAGGTCTTCAGCAACCCATGCTTGCCGTAAAAGGCGACTACGCTTGTCGTAAGAGGCGACTAAAGGATCGGGTGGTCAGGCTCGCTGACTTGGTTGATGCATGTCATCGTATCCCAATTAGGTGGATAGACTGTCTGGTCCAGACTCGATTATTTACAGACCGCCGTCATATAGCTGGAATATTGCTGAGTGCGGCATTAAACAAAAAAAAACAAAAAAACAAAGTATGAACTTAAACTATAACTAATTGAAGGCATTACAGACGAAATGATACTAGTAAGCATATTTCGCTACGATTATGATAACAGTGTACGGAGTTTAATGCAGGTGAGTGTATACCTGAGTCTTGCCTCCGGCCGAGTCCTGCACAGAGCTCCTGGAGACGGACGCGGCGAAGGGGTAACAGGAGAAGAAAGAGCCGAACACATTGCCGAAACCATAGGCAACCAGTTCCTGGAGACAATAGATTGGACACATAACATTAGATGTGCAGAAACTCCACAAGCATGTATACTAGTAGTATACACATAGCATGTATACTATACTGATCCTTTTAGAAATATAAGACCCTATTGTTTGTTTTTTATTGGAATACAGAAACTATATGCACTTTATAGAGGTACACTGCACGTTTACATACATGGGATTATAAGAACTATAAGGTATCTTTTTACAGAAATAACACGACTTTCAGGGTAAATATAGAGTTATTGGAGGAACTATACTTGTATTTATAGGAATATGAGAACAATAACAGCGCCTGCAATAGGAATACGAGAACTCCAGTGTTCTTGTTGTAGGAGTAAAGTACCCATAGACATATATTGTATATCTGAAGACCTATATCAATGAAAAGTGAATTGAGAGTCCTCAGTTATCTATTACATAATTATCTATTACATAGGTTTCTCCTGAAGGAGAAACAGCTGTATTTGTGTAAGTTGTAAGTTGTATAAGTTGACTCTAGTCCATGTATGTCGTCGTTTCCATGTACATATACATGTAATAGACAAGAATACGTCATGGAGTAGACAAGAATACGTCATGGAGAAAACTAGAATACGTCATGGAATAGACTAGAATACTTCATGAAGTAGATTAGAATCCGTCATGTAGTGAGCTAGAATACGTCATGTAGTGGGCTAGAATACGTCATGGAATAGACTAGAATACGTCATGTAGTGAGCTAGAATACGTCATGTAGTGGGCTAGAATACGTCATGGAATAGACTAGAATACGTCATGTAGTGGGCTAGAATACGTCATGTGGTAGACTAGAATACGTCATGTGGTTGACTAGACTACGTCATGTACCTTGTTGGAGTCGATGTCGTAGTGGTGTTTGTTGGCCATGACGACTGCCAGGGATACCGACTGGGCGAACGCGACAATGGCGATGGCAATACAATCTGTACCGTAGCTGCTGACGTTGACGAAACTTGGAGGAGCTGGGACGGGCAAGCTGTAAACACAAGCGAGACTTTATTCTTCTGGGGATTTTGGGAAGGACTTCGCAACTCATTGATAATCCTGAGAGTTGGGAATTTTTATATAAAAATTTGAATATTTTTATATTTCTTAATTTGACATGTAAGAACTCACCCAGCCGGGATGTGGCCAACAGTTCGGATGCCCCACATTTCAACGAAACCTCCAAAATGGCTGGCGGTTGTACCGATCACGACCTGTGAAATAGAAAACGCCGATACAATACAATACACGTTTATCCAACTTTTAAATGCTAGAGAGCATCCACACAATATCTTTTTATCCGATTCTGTGTCTGAATCTTTCACAAGGACGATTTGTGGTTTAGCTGTTTGGATCCTCTTGTCATGGTTCGAATCCCAGCTTAGGCACGATTATTACCTTTGGTTTGTCACAGCCATACACGTGGGTTCATCCAATATTATCAATGGCGTCAAACTTTAGTCCTACTCATTTAAAACTGTAAACGGGTTCCGATCGAGAGCGGGTTGACATTCACTGTATACATATCTACTCACCACGATAAGTTCAACGGGGATTGGGACCTTCAACTTGGCCTTGAACCTCTGGTTGACCTGCACCTTAACGAGGTAGATGATGACGATGCAGATGAAGGAGATGCCCATCTCTGGCAGGTTGGTGTTGGGCAACTCGCGGATGATGGCTTCGTATGTCTGTTCAGAACGGTAAGTTTTATTTCATAGGTACACAGGTCGAATCCGGAAGTGACAAAACCAAGGTGAATTTGAAGTGAACTGACACTGGCAAAGATCCCGAACCCTTGTTATCAAAGTTGTGATACATATTAAATGAATCGGGATATACCAAATTCGCAGTGTTATACAAAAAACATAAAATAGAGTGGTTACTGATTTAAAATTACTGAAAAACTTTCCAAACGTTTGTTGCGAGACGATTCTCGTTATAACCGCCACCCCACCCCACCCCCCAACCCCAACCCCCAACCCCCACCACACGCCCACCCCCACCCGCACACACCACCCCCACACACCACCCCTTCGTAAGCATCATGCCCTGTTAACAATGATGTTCTAATTTGATATTTCAAATACCCCATCTTCACGACCGCTTAATCGGATTTGAGCAGTGGTCAGGTAGCTAAGTGGTTAGAGTGTTCGCTCGTCACGCTGAAACACTAGGGTTTGTTTCCCCTTGTGTTATACCCCTGTGATTCTGCTGGAATATTGCCAAAAGTAACGAAAGACATTCGCGCGTACTTCATCTTGCATTCAAATTCTGATTGCTCTTAAACAGACTCACTTTGATTATCTGGAACAGGTTTGGGAATCTAGGAATCTTGATTCCAAAGACATATTTGACCTGGCTCGTGAAGACGTGGACAGCCGCCCCTGTGGTGAAGCCGCTGACCAGGGAGTCGGACATGTAAGTGGTCAAGAACCCAACTCTGAATATGCCCATGCCGATCTGTCAACATAGAGAAGAACATCACGATGAAAACGTCAGTTTAAGAACCATTTAATGATTCTTGTTGATTCTAAGATAAACTGTGTATCGTATAAAATGCACATGAATAAACAACACTTTTATATATATTGATGAATGATTACATACATTTGTTTAAAAAGACGTACGTCCTACAAATAAAAAAGTCATAGTTGTCTATTAAGTAATTATCTAGGCATACTTTAAATCATATTTATTTCTGACTCATGATTCTATTTTTAAATCGGTAAATGCATTGCCTTTATATATTTGACCCTCGTTAATCCAAACACTTCCCTTTTATGACTTCTCAACCAAAGGAGACAAAGATAGGGTCATCATATTCGTTTCGTAAACATGTACTTATAACTACTGTTTTCTAAACCGAGGCGATGGTCATATACAACACCGAGGGTTACTGTATACACATTTGCATTGTCAAGGTTACGTCACCTGGATGAGGCCCGTGAGAAAGCACACAGTTGCAGCAACAGAGATCTTGAAGCGTATCTCGTCATCCGACACGGCAACCTGTCCAGGTATCCCATCTGACCCGTTCAGCCCCATCATCGTAGTGTTCTCTATCTGTAGGCCTCTCGCCTCTCTCCACAGGTTGGTTTGTGTAGAGACTATACCCCCCGTCATCAGACTCACTACGGCTACAGTGCCTGCACAGATGGAGAATACATTGAATCAAACACTGTTACCTTGATTAACATGTAGTCTCTAAAATGAAGTCATTTTTACTTTCTCATGTTCAACTGTTGATTTAACATATAATAGAACGGAGCCCCGAGAATAACTTCATTACTGAAACAGGAAGGAATCTTGACTTGAATTGTAGCTTTACTTGTGTTTTCGTACATTCTTTCAGAGTCTACATACATGGTGAAACCAACATGTAGTCATTTGGCAAATTAGTCATTCGTGAACATTATTGTAACTTTCAGAGATATACCATTTATGAATTATCGGGCTTTAAAAAAAGGATCTTGCGTTGATAAGGTAAGTGACTTGACCTTGGCTTATAATATCCAAGGGCCTGGCGTCTGATTGGTTTGACATGAAAGATGTATGGCACAAATAAATCTGAGGCAAATCCATTTCTTTTATTTGTATGGTAAACAGATTTCAGATAAAAAGGCTGTTTTCCAGCTGTTCTGGTGTCAACAAAATGCCAATCAAATAGACATAAATCTATCTGACGAGTATTTCTAAGCTGACGGGATTGTTGGGTTTGCTACAAAGTTGTCATGTGTTTTTAGAAAAAGAGATAATATTACCAGTTTGTTTTAGGAAAGATAGCCAGAAACCCCTTATATAAATATGAATGTACTGATTTTGTATCTTTTCGTAATTCAAATGTGAATCGGGTAAAATGTGGTACTATCGACGGATATGTGTACTCTAGTTCGTAATAACCGTTCCTTCGAAATATAACGGGGTTGGGGGCAATGTCAACTGACTTTCTATACTAGACACACACAAATAGATCCTATCACAAAAAAAACCCATAGCATCATTCTTTGCTAATGTAATGACCCCTCGCCTTAAATAAACGCCTGATTTTTTTTACCAAATTCCCTGTTCTGCTTTAAATTAATGGACACAGTTAAGTGTGGTATTTTTATGTCACACTCCCGAAGAGGTGGCCAGGAGCGTGGATTTCAACACGTTGAATTAACATGGTCACACGGCTGACAATCATTCTTCATCATACAACAGTGACACGTTTCTTAACACCGCATTACTATGTTAAAGGCCTGCTGACTTTGGAAAGCCCCCAAGAACCTCATCAAATACACCTTCTCCGTCGACACACCGACACATTCTTTTATTAATACTGCGTAATTGGGTGGATGAAATGTTCAAATAAAAGGCAAAAACGTTTTTAAATTGACGGCGGTAATGGTCGTGAAGAAACTCGCAGTTATTCCGACAGGTGTCCTTGAACCTAACTTTCAGTGCAATCTTGAAGAAAACGGGGTTCTTTTTCCAAACTGGTCGTTTGTTTGATAAAGTTAAAAGGTTATGTGTCTTAGCTTAACAGGTGCGAGACAGAAGTTTAAGAACGTTTCTAGTGATACAAGCACACTCATTTGCTCCATGTCCTTCAGCGTATACGGAATATTAATTCATATACTGAATATAACCTTACATTTTTATGCCATTTATATTCGAAATCACTGCAATTGGTAATAGATGCTGTATAAGTTTGTGTGTTTTAACGATTCGACAACACTGCAATTTTTTAATAGATACTGTAAACATTTGTGTTTTGTGATGATTTAACATCACATGGGAACTCGGTCTTGAAAGATAGTCAATGTCGGATATATTGGGTCCTAACATTTACACAGTCACTTATAGTACACGAACGTACCCACCATGCAATGATTACGCTTGTCTCGAAGTACGGTATTATTTTGAAGTAATTTAAACAAATCCCTATCAACCATACCTTACGATTCATTCCTGTCAATCATGAAATTGATTCATAATTGCAAGTGTCCTTTGTCCGCCTTATTAAAGTAACACATTTATATCTGGACAAAACATAAGTTATTGTCACGCCTGGTCAAAATGATTGTCAATGTTTCACGTTTAAGAAGTAACATTTGATTTTTTTATGTCACTAAATGTACACTGAGAACTATGTAGTCTCATCTACCTAAAAAGCGTTTGAAAATATAAACATCATTTTGAAATATACAGTTCATATCATTTCTGAATAATACCATATCAAACAGTTGGATCAATAGATCTGTAACGTACATCATACCGAAAAACCTTGTTAATGCGGACAGTGCTGTTCATGCAACATCCCACATGTCCGTGCTGTCGACTCATAGGAAAAAAATACAAGACTACACATCCGTAATAGACCGGAAATCCGGATTAACCAGTTTTGAATGTATAAAAATGTTCTTACCCATTGAGATCTGCTTAGAAGTTCCGAATATGAAGTATATAAGCACGGGGAAAAACGACATGTAGAGACCGACCACTGGCGGCATATCCGCTAACATGGAATACGCCATACCTGCAACAGAACGGATGATAATGAGTTGGGTGAATGAATGGTAATCAGCGCAAGGCTCGACACTGCTACAGCTATGTGACGTCGGCCTGTAAATAATTGAGTTGGGAAGGACAAACCAGTGGTTGATATAGTGAGCAGAGTCAACACCGTTGGGATAAACGGGATGGCCCACGTCACGGAGCCTGACCACCCGATCCATTAGGTCGCCTCGTACGAGTTGCTTTGGACCCATTCTAACCTCAAATCCTCGAGGGCTGAATGAATAAGATGGGTAACATGAAATTTAAATTAAATTGAATGTTACCAAAACAAAAATTGATATTGAATCCAGTTTCAAACATTTTACAGTCAAACACGGTTGTGTCGAAGTTGAAGGGACCGGCGTTAATACTTCGAGTTATCCGAGGTTCGACACATCAAAGTTACCGCAACGGTGTTTGACTGTATTTGTTTATTGTATTATCCTTTGTAAACATCCACCATGAGCTATGTCAAGTCACAAATGCGCAAAGGCTCCCTCCAGGGCGTATGTGCAACAAGCTTGAAGCGATCAGTTGTTTTTCAGTTCACTGTAAGTAATTCACATGCAATGCAGCCTCGGGCGCTGGCACCGCATGACGCAAAGTGCTATATGGGTGCAGCGGTTTATTATATTTTTAATTCTTTTACATGTTATTTGATTTTTTTACACCATTTGCATACAAGGGTGAAAATGGGGATATAAACATGTTATAAACTCTCTCCTATACACTTCATATGTCATCCTTCACAGGCACTGGATGACGTGTAACATGGCTCACTTCTACCTGGGTAATGTCGTCAGAAATAACAACAACATAATATTTCAGATGCCGAAATATAAAAACGTCAAAAAGAACATCACTCAAGTGTTTGTTTCAAAAACAATATACGTATTCTTTATAAAAAACAACAACGTTTAATTGTATCAAGACTTCTGACTCAATGATAAAGCAGGGATGACGCAAGGATGACGCAAATTATCCGTCAATGGTTCACTAATGACGTATTGTGTGGCGTCATGAGCAGGATGGACTGTTGTTATTGCAAACACTCCATATTGCACATATTTCGAATACAGCAGTGTGACGGAAATTACGAATAAACCATGCCTTTAAAAGATTGACAACTTTTACACTATGAAAGGATTAAAACAGTTAACACTAACGTTTCAGTAACGCTTATGAATATTCCATGCTTGACATTAGCAGGGGCGATTACGTAACAGGAGACGCGCGAGGTCAAGGGTAAAGGCCTTACCCAACATGTCACTGGAGGTGAATGATAATGATACGCATGTTATTCTAACAATTGCTTTACTGTTACATGTGCGGTTTGTTCCGGGTCAGTCACGGGTAAACTGAGTGATAAAGACAGAGGGGTGATGATCGTATTTCCATGCGTTAACATTGAAGGTGACTTCCACCTCAAACCTAGCAGTGAAACATATTGTATTCCTTAAATGTCCATACTGACATTTCAATGTCAAACAATAGTATCAAGTTATGACATGAAGGACCTTTGAGCCATGTAAGATTTTTCTTCAAAACAGATATGCCTTTGAATGTACATAATGTATTCATATGTCTAAAAACATGTCTGTTTCTACTTCAGCAAATATTAGCTATAACCGCAACGTTATAAATGAGCAAGACGTCGGTGATCGATGGAAAATATGCAAGGATTATATTTTTATGAATACATGTATGAAGCTATTAATATGCAACAATTGGATATGTATATACAGTGAACCTTTTCTTAAGTTTAATTGAATATGACGTATTCATCTCTTTGTAAGCACCTCTATTTATTCATCTACAGTAAAATACGTTTATAACGAACACGCTTATAACGAACGACGGATATTACGAACTACTTTTTTGGTCCCGGACATTTGCCGTATAGACGTTGGATATATACTTATAACTACGGTTATACCGAACTAAAATTAGTGGTCCATTTAAGTTCGTTATAACCGTAGTTTACTGTATTTGTAAGCACCTCTAATCATCAATATGACCAATCGGGTGGAGTATTTTACAAAGAAACGCCGTTTATTCGAGTAATCCGTTATTCAGGCGGTTGCTGGCATTTGGGTTAAAGCGTTCGCGAACAGTGTCGAAAACGCCGGGTTTGATTCCCATCTTGGTAAAAAGTGTTCAGTGTCCTCAGTTAAGATATGGTTGTAATAATGCCGAAGGGAACCAAACCCAACTCGAATTCCGTTAACTCTACAGAGGGTTTTTGGTTATGCTCCCTGTGGATCCATATTAACGATTTCTTCATATTAATGATATTGACTTATTCATAGTTAGAAACAGGCGTTATGTTAATGTAAGACCAATATCGTCACTCCGCTTGTCTCGAAATACGAAAATTTACCAACTATACGAGTTTTCTTTTACCCGTATCTGTATTCGCATCCGTTTCCCAAAAAATCGCTTTTGTAGAAAATACACTGCTACATCTACACCTAAGTGTATCAGTATCCGTACATTTTGGATACCTGTCCCCCACCGGTATTGTCGATGCCAGACTGACTTTGGGGGATCCTAATCGACCTGCGAGAATGGCACCTATTGTGACGTTATATTGTGAACCCCCGGAATTCCCTTAAATACGCCCTCTCTAAAGCGTATTTTGCTATGCCATGGTTTTTTTCAAGAAAAATAAATGTTTTTCGACATTCGAACATATTCATGAAATCGTTGTCCCAGTTCTACCTGTACCTAGCCGATGATATTCACCGTGCTCTTTCCTTTTAATTAAACTGTCGGGTACCCACCATCGTCTCTTGTTTTGTCCTTTTAATCAAACTGTCGGGTACCCACCATGTTTGAGCCTATCTTTCTGTGAAATAAGTCATTTTTGTGTGGCAATAATTACTGACAAGTGTAAACGAAAATACGGATGCGTGTTCCGGATACAAGGGGGATAGCGAGGGTGGTCCCGACTTAACACGGCATGTTTTCATGGTCCCGGAGACTTTGAGATTTCTCTTTATCATCCAACCATGAAAAGATGACAAATGATCCGCATTTCTATCAAAGAATCTTTAAGATGAAAAATCTGTATGTTTGGCCCTGAACGGCTATAGCAGTCTCTGAATGTAAAGTGACTTTCTCTATTTAAATGCCGGAAGTTTTGAAATTCCAAAACAAGAAACGTCAACATAACGCGTGGTCGCCAAAACACCCCCTTACCCTTTCCCAAGCTTATAGACGTGACGTTTTCAACAAGTTTCAATGACCAGAGGATCCACGTTCTCAAAATAGATACACAAACGAAGGACAAGGATCAATATTTACTTGTTAATTATCGTACATATGTAAACAGGAGAGATCCGTCAAAGCCATTCTCATTAACAGCTCTGCATTAACAACGGTCAAAACGCATGAGGAAACTCGACCCTTTGTGTTTTCATCTTAATCCTGAAACATCAACAATAGCCGCCACAAGGTGACGTGTACTGCTTGGACTGTTCTGTTGCCAGTGTCTATGTATTGACACGTACAGAAACTGCGGGACGTCATGATATGTGTCAAAGTTGTTTTTTTATCGAATGTGTTTTAATTTATTTTCCGCCAAGGTAACATTTTATGAATATACGCACGCAATGTTCTACCTGACCCCATTTATTGCATTAGCCAAGAGTTGCATAAAGAAATCAAGCTGTGTATGTATGCATGTTTGAATTTGTAGTCATGAATACGCGTCGTTTCATTTCCAAAGAGTAATTTTTTTTATATACCTGTGTAAGATTAGCTGTTTGTAAAAAAAAAAATTAATAAGGAAACAATTTTTTCAACTGGACACTGTATGTGGCATGTGGCATGTCCAGGTGACAGTTATATGTGACTGAGTCTACGGTCTGGTGTCCATTGTCTGTCAAGGTTAGACATTTAAATAAACTCCGTGTATAACATTATCACGCATCTTGTGTAGACCACATGTAATTGCCGGAGTACGTTCGATCAGATATCCTAGTTTAGTTCTTTCTGATTTGCTGACGTCCCTTGGGCACGCCAGAAACCTATGATTGTGGGTTCGAATCCCGGTTCGCCCCGATTATGTTTCTAGGTTTGTCAGCCCCATTCCCGTGCTCATGGGTTCCACCAAAGTGGTAAACGTCTGAGACCTGCATCACTTCGGGCTATCCTCCCACATTAAGCTGACACACCGCGATATAACTGGAATACTGTTAAAAGCGGTTAAACCCAACTCATTCACTCACTCACTCTGATTTGCTGAGTAAATTGTATTTTTATACACCTCATTGAAAATACTTCGAGTGCATGTTTGCCGATACCTGTGGTTTGTGTCACAGTATCTAGGAACATCGACATTTTCTTATCTCCTTCACCTTGTCATAAATAATGAAAGTTGAGACGCTCAGAGATGCTAGGATATCAAGGTCATTGTTTGTCCTGCATCATGGTGGCTTTGCGTTAAAACTTTGTCTTGCTTTATTGTACTCAGCGACACACTGAATCACCTGCATGGAACGTTTAAGAAACATCTGCACACGCTTACGTGTATGAATAACTTCCATGGGCGATAGATATTGTAGCCCTAGCATGCAGGTGAATGGCGCGCACTTAACATTCGGATAAATATAGTAGCCTTGACATATAGTATAGATACATAGTGTGCATACAGGTAAATATAGTAGCCCTAAAACACTAATAGCATATCCTTAACATCCAGATACAAAGAATGAGTGAGTGAGTGATTGAGTATGGTTTTACGCCGCCTTTAGCAATATTTCAGCGATATCAGGGCGGGGGACACCAGAAATGGGCTTCACACATTGTAACCATGTCGGGAATCGAACCCGGGTCTTCGGCGTGACGAGCGAAGGTTTTAACCACCAGGCTACCCGACCGCCCCGATACATATAGCAGCCCCAACAAGGAGATAGTATAGTAGCCCCAACGTACTGCTACATATAGTACCCCAAACACATAGATAACTACCGTACCCAACAAACAGTTAATTACAATAGGCTAAACATACAGATAACTATAGTAACCCAACATACAGACACATAATATATCCCCAACATACAGATAAATATAGTAGCCCAACAAACAGATAAATATAGTAGCCCAACATACAGACAGATAATATAGCCCCAACATACAGATAAATATAGTAGCCCAACATACAGACACATTATATACCCCCAACATACTGATAAATATAGTAGCCCAACATACAGATACAGACTATAGGTCTAACCTACAGATAAATACTGCAACACACAGAACTAACATACAGATAAATAGCAAATGTCTCCAGATGGAAGTAAAGTGTTTTACCTTGCGGCAGCTGCATTATTCCCACCGTCAGACCAGCGATGATGTCGTTGGGAAGATCCGATCGCCATTTGTACTTGCTCATGATCTTCAAGAATGGGAGAAAACTGAAAAGGCATTTTTTCCTCTTGCTCGGCGTGCATGCACACGCATCTCGTGCCTTCTGTTTAACGGCTTCACCGACACTTTTCTGTGTGGAACTGGTCTTCATGAACTGATTCCTGAAAGTCTGAGTCTTGTACAGAGGTCTCCGGATCGAGACATATTCCGATCCTCCATCTGGACCACCGTGGTTATAGTTATCAGTCATAGTAGCCGATATGACCAGTGGAAGCCAAACTTAAAAGTCAAAATCTTCTTGAGGGGAAGTGAATGAATGGATTGTAAACCGTCTTAAAGAAACAAACTTGTTTCTAAGATGTTAAAACGCTGATAAAAAATATCTAACAACACACAGCGCAAACAATGACAAATAAGAGTGTCTGTAAAATGTGTCAAGCAACACGCGCACCTGCTCTAAGATTGTCTTCAGTTAGCAGCACGTCACGTGGTCGAGGTTGTATTTGCAGAGGAGTCCCAGCAATACCTGTGCCGGCGGCGGAGGAACACACAGTGCATCGCTCTGGCCCTGGCTACCTGTTTTAAAGCAGACGGTCCCTCATTATTCATGTTTCACGTCACGGGGTATTCGCTTTCAATATATGTACTTACGTACACTGGAACAGTGTTCGGGCGACGGACAATGACGGACATACACGCGTCAACCCCTTGTATGTTATATCACACACTTGACCTGTCAATTACTTATTTTCACGACAGTCGCGTTAGTGTTTCACCTGGGTAAATAAGTATCAATTATTGTTTTGATGGAAGGGGAATGAATGTGATATGAGAATGTCACCCTGTCTTACATCTCTATCTGAAATTTAATCAACTTTTGTAAATCAGTATTAAATTTTTTTAAATCATCTGAGGGGAAAGAATTTGGTCTGACATTATCACCCTGTCTTACACCAGTATCTGAATTTTAATCAACTTTTGTAAATTAGTATTTTTTAATGTTATCATTCGTGTAAGGGGAAAGAATGTGGTGTGAGAATGTCACCCTGTCTTACATCTCTATCTGAAATTTAATAAACTTTTGTAAATCAGTATTAATTAAAAAAATCATGTAAGGGGAAAGAATGTGGTCTGAAATTTTCTCCCTGTCTTACACCAGTATCTGAATTTTAAACAACTGTTGAAAATTAGCATTACTTATTGTATATGTTTTGTGTAATAAACATATTCTCAGAGGTCCACCCTGTCCTATGTATGCGTCTATATCTACATTTTAATCCACTTGAACAAACTTAGTATTCACAATTGTTTTAAGGTAACATATAACCTTACACATTGACTCTTGGATACATTTATTGGTAATTAATGTTTTTTTCTGTAGCCAAAATAGTGGTATGTGTTTCCTCCGCACCTGATATTTGATCTTGTTTTGGTACGCCTGAATGCTTTTTAGCAGAGACGTCACTTACGCAATGGTGTGTTTACGGATACATGTTTTTGTTTACTGTGAATAAATTACCTTGTTTACTTTGTAAAGACTAATAACTGCTCAACATATATGAACAATCATATTCAACTCTTTGTACACAAGTAATAATCTCATGTGGAATGTGTAATATACTCAAAATTAGCTCATCTTAGCTATGATATCGGAGCATATTACTTTGTCAAACATACTGACCTACGTTGTAATTTGCTTGAACAAAAGCGAACTCTTTTATTTGAAACTGAAGTCGATAGTCTCGAGGTCGATGTGTATATGAGTTTTATCACTAGGGATGAAGATGATAAAGGGACGTCATGACTGTACAGTAAAGTACGTTTATAACGAACTCAAAGGGACTAATAAATTTAGTTCGTTATAACCGTAGTTCGTTATAAGCGTGTTCGTTATAACCGTAGTTTACTGTAGTTGAAAAATAAAAACTGCTAAAGAGGACAGTTATGACACTTTTTAGGGGTCCACTGGTTTTAGGGGACACAGGTCTGCTGACAGACAGTTTATACACTGAACAAAAAAGTTCTCCCTCTCCGTATGCTCGGTGGATTGTATTTTCATATCTATCTATCTATCGATGAGATCACCCACGAGAATACGAATACCCCTCCACACAATCAATGTTTTATCTTTGAAGTGAATATGAATATTAATACACACAATTATCCTAATTTTGGAGGATGGAAGTATTTACGAAAAAATTCCAATGCACTTACCTTTAAGGTTTTACATTCACAACAAAACAAGCATGGCGACTGCACCCATATTTAAACACCCATGAATTTCGCTCACTGTTGTTTACAACGAGCAGAATCTGTACAACACCAGATTAGTCTGAATATCTTACACCGCTGAAAACCACACTCACTGCATACATTTTATCAACGAGGATTAGCATTGGATATTTATATCGGTTGTATAGAATCAGAAAAAAATATTCCAACAAATACAACAGTTGTTCAGCTCAGACACTTTGTTAATATTTACTCAATCTGTTTAAATGGAAGTAGGAAATGTTTGCATGGCAGACATATATAATCAGTGTGAGGCACTGTTAGGCTCGTGAACAAATGGACAATAATACCAGCACTTAGAGAGATTTTTTCTTAAACAATGCTATCATTATAATCCTTGCCGTAACGTGACACGAGTGATACACCGTCAAGATTTATCGTACTACAGGGACACAACCTTATGTTGGGTAACGTTAATCCAATCATCTCGCTCTCCTGGAAATGTCGTTACTCTTTGCAAAATGATCCATTTGTTACGAACATTTGTTAAACCGGACTCTTACTGTCCGCTTTAACGAGGTTTCATTATATTAAAAAAAAATATCAATTGCATGTAACAATTGTTTAAATCCATACACATGATCATTGGATATTTATGATAATTCATCAATATATTTTTAAACATCTACATATCGACAGCGAATATAAAAGCGTAAACGCATGTATAGTCATCGAGGTTATGTATATTTCTTGTACAGGCTTTCCTCTTGAATTAATGCATTTACATTAAACCATTGAAAAGCCAACCAGGACAGGTTAGTATTAAATAACTCCATTTATTATCATAATCGTCAACATAAATCCAGATACCATATTTGCACAGCATTTACTTTTAATCCCCATGTCGATTAAACTACTTTTAAGACAAGTGTTAGTAGTTTAATCAACTAAGAAGAACCTATTAATCTTTATTCCTCGATCACAAGATGTTATTAAATGTGTTTACCTATGACAGTTCAAGTGGTCGGTCACACCCTTTGTTTGATTGCAAAATAAGTCATTCCCTCTCGAACGAACTACTTGATCGTGCATTTGTAATAGTCATGTACAAAGCCCTGCTTGTACGTTTCTTAAAACGCCAGGGGGCAAGGGAGTTTCTTCTGCATGTTGAGACACGCTCATTACATTGTATAATGCAAATATACCTTTAACCATGTATGAAAAATTAAGTAAAGTCTAACATAGTAATTTTGTTATGACAAACCATTATTTATGTAAAAGTATACATCCATCCTTGCTGTTACACCAGTTATCTAGTTATATCTAACGGGTTTTTTTATAACATGATAACGTATGACCGACAGTGCCTACAGAATATTCACCATCACTCTCACTTTGTTATGGTAACCATTGCAAAGGCATCAACGGTTTCTACTACACTATATACAGACCTTGAAAGTGATGGGTACAGATTTCAAAATTACTTTTTTAATTATAGTGTCTCGCTAAAACTTCATATACTCATAGTGAATTGAGATATGTGATGCACTTTGTGCAAGACTCATGGATGCGTATTGTTTTATCTGTACAAACAAAGAACACTATTGGCAACCCTTTACAAAGTTTGGACACTTACCAATGATATCCTTGTGTTCCTTCAACAATGCGAGTTTACTTGACAGATTATCGTGTATATATAACGTATCAGACTTTAGCAAAACGTCACCATTACACTTGTGACGTCGTCAGATACGTTGATCATTGTTACAGAGCAGTTTGTGAATGGACAACTTCGACTACGGCTGTCTCTATGACAGCCGCTGTGTTCGTGTGGACACCATTGGTCGCACCACGGTGATGACAGTGTCTGTGCAGGTAACGCCATGGTGACGACAGTGTGTCTGTGTTGGTGACACCACGGGGGCAAATCATACACTGTGTCTAAATATCAAGTGGACAAAAAAACGTCAACGGTATCATTTAAATATAATTTCATGCTTTATTGAAAAACATAAATATCATGCTTCGTTTCAAATTATAGCCATTATGATGCTCCCTGGGCGGATTAAAAAACTCGGTGTTGTTGTTTTCTTGACCGCATATGACCTAAACTAACAGAAGTAATCTAATAGTGAGTGAGTGAGTGAGTATGGTTTTACGCCGCGTTTAGCAATATTTCAGCAATATCACGGAGGGGGACACCAGAAATGGGCTTCACACATTGTACCCATGTCGGGAATCGAACCCGGGTCTTCGGCGTGACGAGCGAACGCTTTAACCACTAGGCTACCCGACCGCCCCTAGTAATCTAATGTTATACTTTTAGATGTTGTGTTTTACGTCGAGAACTGCAGCTTGATGTTTGTGACGGGCGTCACCTGTGGGTTAGTACACGCTCTCCTTTTCGCGAACACCTGGTATCATCACTGTATGACAGTGATTCATAAAAACATACTTATGATGTAGTCTAAATCGTTTATTGTTATTATTATTATTTTGAGATTAAAATAAAACATGCAGCAAAGAGGGTTTGGGTGATCCTCGCACAGTCAGATTGGTTAGGCTCATCATCAGCTCATGGCCCTTGACCCCTCTACACGCAGTCCAGAGAGCGAATGGGACTTCTCCCAGGAAGCGCTGCCTATTCGAACCCATCCAAGACTTTTCGAAGAATGCGAAGACTCCCCAATACTGCACCCTTCTGCATTACCCAGATTGTCAGAAGGGCTGTATTCCAAGCAGAAAACCCAGGTACTCTCCCAATGCCAGTCAACAGATTGGGGAGTACCAAACCTAAGCCACCGAGAATGATGGGGAGATGGACAACTTGGCACTTGGGATGAGAGTGTGACATTACATTTGCCATGTTTTTCCTGAATCTTGTCAACCACAAAAGGGGACAGAGAATTCAATAATATAAATGATTTCATTGGGTTTATCAAAAAGGACAAGATCAGGTTTGTTAACTGGATAGGTATGAGGCTTTATACGGGACTATACCGAATAATTTTGTATTTATCTCTGTGTCAAAACCACAAGCATAGCGAAGACGGTAATAAAATGATCGAGCAACGCCATCATGTCACTTAAGATACTGTTTTTGCCAAAGCTGGGCATCCACTGACAATGTGTTGGATAGTCTCATTAAATTCATAACATAATCTACATTTCATATCTACATTTTGATGCAAAAGCACACATCGACGGTTACGTCATCATCATCATCATTATTATTATTATTATTTTTATTTATTATTATTTTTATTATTATTATTATTATTATTATTATTATTATCATCATCATCATCATCATCATCACCACCACCATCATCATCATCATCATCATTATTATTATTATTATTATTATCATCATCATCATCATCATCATCATCATCATCATCATCATCATCATTATTATGATTATGATTATGATTATTATTATTATTATTGCTACCGGTAGGGTAGTACATGCTTACCCTATTTGTGAAAACCTGGTGTCATCACTGGTTTTCGATGGTCCATTCCTATAACTTTCACACCCATTTTGCCCTTTATACCAAGTTTAATCTGTTTCGGACAACAATCTAGGATGGTTATTCTCTTGCACTGGCAATCTACATTTACATTTAGCCTCAGCTCAAGCTATGTTGCCTAATGTTTGCTTGGGCATTGTTACCACATGTCACGCAGCTCAAGTAATGCCATGCACATTACATTTGGATATTTTATGAGAGTTGACTACAATCTAGACAGAAGTAATCTCATTGCTCTACGATGAAATGTATACCCGACCCAGCTTCAAATACGTGTTTAAATGTCATGTTGGATGTGTCCGGGTTTCCGCGCAATCATCTAACAAAAAACAGCATAATTATTCGTGCAATTCGACAATATTTGTGTTTCGACTATAAGCTGAACATTTTAGTATATTTATTTATAATATTTGTGTTTCGACCATAAGCTGAACATTTTAGTTTATTTATTTATTTATTTATTTTATTATTACTATTATTTTTTATTATTTATTTTTTATTTATTTATTTATTTATTTTTTTTAATGAGTATGATTTTAGTCCGCTTTTATCAACATCATTCCGAGGGACACCAGAAATGGGTGTTACACATTGTACCCATGTGGGGATCGAACCCAGGCTTTCGGCGTGACGAGTTTTAACCACAATGCTACACTACTGCCCATAAGACGTAAGAACAGACAATACTCTAGTTAAAGATCCTTCGACAGAATTGTGTGACACAATCTATTGACAATGTCTGCGCCACTTCCTTGTGTGTCACATGAGACAGTTAAGTAAGTGTTCCACACACATAACATCACAACACTTGTGTTTGCCTTGGACCACAAAAAACGTTGGGAAACTACCCATCTCATGTCAACATAAAACCTTCCGTAATACTATCATAATAATGTAATGCAATATGTTAATAGTGTTAATATAAAGTAGTAGTAATACTGTTTGTTTACATGTATATAAATGCGGTCAAGCATTGTGCAATGTAATCCCATTGCACCTGTGAAATTTGAACTGACGAATGTCTGCTTGAATTCTCTCGTTCAATGCATATCAGCGACTTTGGTATCCACAGTGCGTCACACCAAACACTCGTTAACTCAAAGATAATCAACTTCCATCGAGTTACCCGTAATTCGAGACCAGTGTTATGTTATATATTGTACACATTACGGATTTGGCTGAGGTCACAATGTATAAAACGGTATAACTTGTGAATGATATTCGAGATAACCGGTTTCATTGCACAACCACTTACAACTGATATACACAGTACAGTAAACTACGGTTATAACGAACTCAAAGGGAGCACTAATTTTAGTTCGTAATAACCGTAGTTCGTTGTAAGCATATATACAGCATATATACATCAAATGGCCGGGACTAAAAAATAAGTTCGTTATATCCGTCAGTTCGTTATAAGCGTGTTCGTTATAAACGTAGTTTACTTACATTGCTGCACACATAAGACAATCGGTGAATCTTGTTGATATAAACTTCCAGGAAATAGAAGGAATTTACATGGAAATTGCATTTGATCAAAGAGTTATCAAAACGTTACTAGGCTGACGAAACAGTCTCCGAAACACTGCAAACTTAACGTCCAATACATAACTATGTTACTCGTATGAAATACATTACCATCTAATAACCATTTCTTGTTTTAGCCCCCATCAAATATGGGTGTATACATTTGCCCGGCAGGTTATATTACCCCAAAACCGTAAGACTTCCCAAATTTCTTTCCTTTTTAAAAAGACTATTGTGTGTATAACTCACAAAAACACTTGACTGACATGTAGGGGACCCGGGTAGTTTAAGAGAGTGCAATTTGTGGTGAAGAGTTACGTCCCTTGGCCGTGTCAGGATCCACTAGCGGTGTCGATCCCTGGCCGCTGTAATCAGTGGTAACTATCCCCCACCTGCGTCACGTCGGTCTATCGTTCTATATATTAAGCTGGGATGCTCCGTTGTAACTGAAATACTACTGAAATCCCCATTACAAATTGAAATATATCTTCAAAATAGAATAAATTCACGATTATTCAGTCAAAGTCGCGCATTGACTTGTATTGTGAGTAGACATATATATAATGTTCGGATATGTATCATGTACTGTCATGAGTGAGTATGGTTTTACGTCGCTTTTAGCAATATTCCAGCAATATCACGGCGGGGGACACCAGAAATGGGCTTCCCACATTGTACCCATGGCGGGAATCAACCCGGGTCTTCGGTGTGACGAGCGAAAGCTTTAACCACTAGGCTACCCGACCGCCCGTACTGTCATGAGTGGTATTTGCTTATATAATCGGAAATACCTTTTTCAGTTATATTATAATTTATTTATGCGTGCTTACATAATTAAAACATTTTTGACAATTACATGTAATAAAAATAATATGAAATTGTAGTGTACTGGCGCTTAGGCACTACTCAAAGAATACTGCTATATGCTTATTTTAAAAATATAATTCGATCTAAGACTTTGAAAACTTCTTTATAAAATTCATTGAAACAATTACATGCAAAACAAACGCGGTTTTCTTTCTCCCCCCCCCCCCCCCCCTTCAGTTTACTCAACAATGTTTGTGCAAAAAGTTAATTGTGAATATGTCCTGGTCATCGTACTTAAACTAATTAATTTCTTATTTGAAGAAAGGTCGTGTGCGTCTCAGAGCAGTCGCGGTGAGCCAGAATCCATCATCACAAACATAGGACAATTATTCACCTAATCGGCCGCACAAGCTAAAGCCGCAAAGATTATTCTAAGTCATGACGGACGGGGCAGTTTAAATAAATGGCGTAACGCGCGGATGAAGTTGAATACATCTTCACAACGGTTAATGACATGATGCGCCATTGGCCGATGAATTCACTGTCGCCTCTGGAGTGGTCATTATCTGACCACTCTCACCCAGTGGTCGCTTTGTCATCAGCCAAAAGCCAAAGAAGAAAATATATTCACACGAGCATAAGCATTATCCTGTTTCACTGTTGCCTTGTTGAGCGCTGGGACATTTGACAAAGAAACATTTGGGGGTAAAGAAAATCAAAGGGACAGAAATGGGTCACACACTGACCAAAAAAGGATACATTAACCCTAATGGTGACACGTCTCTCCGACGGTGGAATGTGTAACGTACCAGCATTCTTTTAGAGTCCAGATGTGCTTGTTAAGATAACCATGAAAAGATTCCATAACAGTATTCTTCGCGCCCAGTTTGAAATGCTTTAGGTGTTGATAATGCATCTAATCACGAGGCAGGAAAGGTTATTGTTATGGGGAATATTTTGTAATTTTATATAACTGACCGGGCAGGAATTCCAATTTGAAAGTTCCTT